AAACACATTATTGCATCCAACCTGGGGTTTTCAAAGTGAATTATGTTTTTAATCACTTAACATCTAACCAAAATGCGTTCAGCGCCTATTATGCGGTTACGGACACAGAAACGAATATGACACAGCTCCTGTCATCAAAACATTCACAGTTTAGTGGGGAAGGCAGACCATGTGTTAGGGATACACATTTGTGGGCGGAGACGGAAGCCATCCAGCCTAGGATGGAAGTGATGTCTGGAGCTGAGCTGAAAAGATGATTACGAAGTGGTGAGCCTTGAATGGGTATTCCAGGGCAGAGGAAAGAGGGCGGGCGAGGGGGAGGGGCAAGAAGACACCTGGAGAATAGGAAGCAGCCTAGGGTTTGCAATTCCTGGAGCTGGAAGGGGGAGGCAGGGAGCAACAGAAGAGACCGGAATGATAACGACGGAGACCTTTGGTCAGGACGGGGGGGCTCAGCATTTCTCTGTTGAGGGTGGACTGTGTGGTCAGATCCAAGTTTTAGGGAAGTCTGGTTGGGGACCCAGTGGCAAAAGGGAGCCAGGGAGAAGACAAGAGGTGTGGCTACCCCCTCTGGCTAAAACCTGAAGCAAGCAAAGAGATTGTACTGGCGGTAGTGAGGACGGAGCGGTGGGGATTAGGTGGTAGAGGGGGATCTTCGCGACAGAGTTGCTTTCTGGTTCCCTTCAGGTGATACTATGGAAGTAAATAATCTCTCAACTTTTCCAGCATCTTCCTCTTCCTCCTCGTCCTCTCTTTCCTCATTCCGTTATTCTGCTACATTCCAAATGCTCCAAGGAAATGTCCAATTAGCAGAGCTTTGGGTAGGGCACTGGGGTGGGGAGATGTAGTTTTCTGGAATGATCCTGCTAGAAGATGGTGACATAGAGGTTAGATAGCTCCTTCACAGGAGAGAGGACTTATTGAGTTACTGACATAGGGATAGGAGAAAGGGAAAGGTATAGTGTGGCCAGTGGCTTTCTGGTTTAGGTAATGGTCTGGATCAGCGAAACAAAGGTCTGGCCAAGACTAAATAACTCACTTGTTTTCCTACCGGCGGTGCTGTGGTGCTGTGGGCCGCTGTCCATGGCCAGGCTGCAGGAGAAGGTGACGACCTATTTTTAAAAGTCTCATTAAGGGGCCCTGCTGCTGTGAATAAGGCCTGTTTAAGTAGGTTACTTTATCTCCTGCCCCACAAATCTGGATACTCCGGAAACATTTTCATTCACTTAACTGATACTTATAGAACATCTCTGGTTCAGTCTGGGGAAGATGGTGAGTTAGAGGTGGTACTTTCATCGCTTCTCGGCCTTTTGGCTAAGATCAAGTGTAGAAGTGGTACTTTCATATTCTTGTGGTGTAACTCACAATAAAAAATAAAAATGGGCAATTAAATTTGATGATCTGGTTGAGACAGATGGAGGTGTCGCTTTTCAGATTGGGTGGTCAAGAAAGGTCCCACTGAAGAGCCATATTTAAGCTGAGTACGGAAGGATCTGGAGAAGAATTTCTGCGTGGTGGGAGCAGCCAATGCAAAGGTCCTGAGGTAGGAATAAGCCAGGTGCATTAGATGAACAGGAAGGAGGCTCGTGTGGTAGAAGATGAGTTCAAAGAATCAGGGTCTAGTTTATGGGGAGCCTGGGAAGTCGTCACCATGTAGCATGTGGGTTTGACACGGAATTTGATGGGTGCTACAGGAGAGTTTCAAATGGGAGAGTGACATAATTTATGTTTTTAAAAGAGCACTCTGGCAGCTGCGGATTCCGTATGCACCATCTTGGTACAATAAAGTGTGTTTTTATCCATCAGAGTGAAAATGTAGAGTTTAAGAGTAACAGATGGAGAGAAAATGCATTGGTGACCTTAATTTAGTGGTTTCTACTGTACCAGTTAATTGCAACCACATTTCTGTATGATTTCAGTTTTGTTTAAAAACATTGTATAGAATAATGGAGAGAAGTGGACTAAATATGTTATCGCTGCTGTCCAAAGGTGTTGGCATTACCAATGATTTTCATATTCTTGAAAATGAGCCCCCATTTCTTTCTTTTCTAATCAGGAAAACATTATTTTAAAATATAGACATTTATGACCACAGATGTCTTGAATGGGGTGTTGTGAGATTCTGTCTTCTACACACTTTTCCCCCCTCCCATTTCATTTCTGGAAATGTTGATGTCAAAACTCACGAGCCTGGTTGGGCCAGAAATTAGGATGTTTATTTGGCACCAGCTGTCCAGTCGGTGGCTCTTTGTTTTATGCTTAAAATATATTTCTAGTGCCAAAAACATTCTTTTTCTTTTATAAGAAATTAAAACAACACAGAAATGTTAAGTAAAAAAAAAATGAAAGCACCTTTCTGCACTGTTATTCCCCAGACCATTAACATTTCTGTACATCTACCATTAGATTTTTTTTCCTTGTGTGTTTCAGATCCCTACCTCTATACTTTGTTGAAGGATTTTAGAATATCGCCAAAACAAATTACCCTATTCTAAATTACTCTCCAAAATTCCCACCTCCGAGCTTGAAACCCAGATGACCTTTTTTCCCCTTGCAACGAAATCGTTAGGAAAACTTGAACACATAACTCAGTTAAGAGAAGCTGAATCTTGCCCTTTTGGTATTCAGAGTGTTCACTGGAAGCACGCTTTATGCTTATAAAGAATCGAGCAATTAAATATTCATTAAAACTACATCGCCGAGCCTTTAAACATTATTGTTCTCGGACTGGAGCCCAAAAGTTGATATCATGATTGCACTGTTTTTGTTAACAAAAGTTAGCCGATATTGAAAACTTAGAGGTGCAAACTAGGGAGCTTAGCCAATTATTTTGGTGACATATTTATTACCTCCAAATACTGTATGCCCTTGAAAACAGGAAAAGAGTAATACTCAATGAATGAAGTGTTACTTACAGCCACTGGTGATGCGTTTGGGAAGAACCCGCTCTGCATGGTCTCACCATGGATCCGGGGGGGGGGGGGGGGGGGGGGGGGGGGGGGGGGGGGGGGGGGCGAGCGGTGTGTGTGAGAGCGCCGAGCCAGGAGTGAGCGGCCCCAAACTCCACGTTAATGGAGTTCGAACAAGAGTGGGCTTGGAGTCTCAGTATGTGATTCAGCAGAATTACTACCTTCCCCATCATTATCATAATTAAACTCGTCCTTCCTTGATGAAGAGAAGAGCCAATGTGTGCCTGGAAGAGAATGATGGTAATGGAGTAGAGTCACCGAGTTTAAGAAGGGAGCAGGGACCTTGGTTATCTCATTTTACAGAGGGGGGCAATAAAGACCAGAGAGAGTAGGCTGTGTGCACCCTGCTGATTTCCCCCCCACCCCAGTGCCACTTTCTGGCACTCAGCAGTGGCTCTGGGTTGTCAGGAAACGAATTCATTTTGGTAAACCCAAGAATTAGGGAGGCACTCTGAACCTGATGAAAAATGGGTTTCTGAGCTGTTCATTCATTCTGTAGAGTGTAATCTGTTTGTGTACTGATAACAGCCCTAATTACTGTGTCAACATTTTTATAGTCTGGTAAGAAAACTTCAAACATCTGTATTGCACGTTGATGTAGCATTTCAGCCTCCAGCGTTCTTACTGCTTGTTCTTAAAACCAGTTGCTCTGTTATTTAATCTGGTCGACGGTTGATGATTCATTTTACGCACAGACACATAAACACACATTCCACATCCACCAGGAAGTGACAGTACTAGCAGGGAACTTGCAGAGGGCTTCCTATGTGCCATCAGCTCTCTGATGATTAGTGCTTCTCCCATTTTACAGATGAAGAAACAGAGACGCGCAGCAAGGTTCAGTCTCGCGCCCAGGGTCCCAGGTTAGAATGTGGTGGAAGGGAATCAGCACGCCTGCAGTCTTGCCCTGGGGGCCTGGGACTAACCAGCTAAAATCCCCACCTTCCCTTCACTGTCACAGACAGACTCCCTGCAAGAAAGATCAGGACACGATTTGTAAAATCGCTGTAGTTCAATCAGCTTGCTGGGGGGGCGCCCGGGTGGCTCAGTGGGCTAAGTGTCCGACTTTGGCTCAGGTCATGATCTCACAGTTTGTGAGTTCAAGCTCCGCATCCGGCTCTCTGCTGTCCGCACAGGGCCTGTTTCAGACCCTCTGTCCCCCTCTCTCTCGCCCTTCCCCCTCTTGCACATGCACACGTGGACTCTCTCTCTTTCAAAAATAAACAGTTAAAAAATCACTTTTTTTGGGCGAACTCGTGGATGTAGAGCTGTAAAGGGTGGTCTGCGGGGATTGCGGCTTCAAGTCTGTTTTCTGGGTTCTCCCCAGTCCCTCCGCTTCGTGAGACATGAAGCGGTAGCCAGTTGAGGACAGACTGTCTGCCTTCAGCTGAGGCCAGTGGTTCTCTGACCCAACCCTCAAGAGAGTTAGCTGCATTCTCACCCAGAGAAACCCAGACGCACAGGATCCAAAGGGCAGTGGGCAACAGGGAGGAATCACATGCTTAAAAATGACAGAGAGGCGCCTGGGTGGCCCATTCGGTTAAGCGTCCCACTCTTGGTTTCGGCTCAGGTCGTGATCTCATGGTTCATGAGTTCAAGCCCCCACGCTGAGCTCCAGGCTGACACTGTGGAGCCTGCTTGGGATTCTTTCTCTTTCCCTCTCCCTCTCTGCTCTCCCCCACTTGCTCCTTCAGTCTCTTTCTCAAAATAAATACATAGGCTTTAAGAAGAATTTTTAAAAATGAAGGGAAGATAGGGGCGCCTGGGTGGCTTAGTCGGTTAAGCGTCCGACTTTCGCTTAGGTCATGATCTCGCGGTTCCTGGGTTCGAGCCCCGCGTCGGGCTCTGTGCTGACTGCCAGCTCAGAGCCTGGAGCCTGTTTCAGTCTGTGACTCCCTCTCTCTCTGACCCTCCCCTGCTCACGCTGTCTCTCTCTCTCTCCTAGAAATTAATAAAAAACATTAAAAAATTAAAAAAAAATTAAGGGAAGATAAATGCTGATGGACACTCAGTGGGCTCATACTCAGAGACTGTCGTTGGCCGTCAATTATTATTCATGCTGTGGGCTGACTCAGAATCTTGCATAGCAGAAGGGACTGAGCTGATGGGCCCTGGGGAGCCGTGGGCTTGGAGATCGCTGTATGAAAGGTGTTGCTGAAGAAGAAAGTTCTGTCCTCTGATTTGGAGCACTGCAGTGGACACCAGAGAAAGAGAGCGGACGCACTGTGGGAGTGGCCATGCCCTGTAGGAGCTTAGATGCTCCTGGGGAAGGTAAATGCAAGAGGCAGGTACTGATCTGGAATTCCTGGGAGTGGGCGACCCTCCTGTGTCTTGGGAAAAGGTGATACAGGCCCTTCCAGAGAGAGGTTGGCTGGCCCTGGATTTGAGTCTTAGAACCCGAAGTGGATGATTTAGTTCAGTGTTTCTCAATAGGCTGCACATTGGAATCCCCTGAGGAGACTTAAAATTAAGTCCTAAGGCCCTGCCCCTTCCCAGACCAGTGGTGTCAGAATCTTGGGGTGGGGCCCCATGCCCCAAGTGATTCCACTGTATAGTCACCATTGAGAACCCGGGTCTAGAACAGCTTTTCTTGAACAGGTGCCCCCGTATCACCTGGAGACCTTGGTCAAATGTGAATCCTGATGCCTGAGTCTGCAGCTTAGAGCGTGAATACCTTCCTTCCTTCCTTCCTTCCTTCTGTTTGCCTGCCTTCATTCTTCTTTCCTTTTTGTTGATTTATAAATGACATACAGTATTAGATTAGTTTCAGGCGTACAACATGGTGATGCAATATTTGTATACCTTATCAAATGATGACCTCACTAAAGGTCTAGTTATGGTCTGTTACTATATAAAGTTACTACGACATTATTACTGTAGTCCCTATGTTGTATGTTATAACCCTGTGATTTATTTTATAACTGGGAGTTGGGACCTCTTAAGCCCATCCCTCTCCCTCTTCCCTGCTGGCCACCACCACCAAGCCCTAGGTGCTGTTTCTGCTTCTGGGACGCTGGGTGGGCAAGACCTAGTTAGAAGGATCATGTTCCTTCCTTCCTTAGCTTCACATGAAGGGCCTCTGAAACTATTGCTTTTCTACGATATTATGGCATCTTTGGTTCACTCAGGGTGGGTTGGAGAACAGGAGGCCTGGACCCTGCCTCCCATCTTTATATGTTCTTATAAAGAATAGAGCAATTAAATCTTTATTAAAAGTCCATCTCTGAACATTTAAACATTTTTGCTCCAGGATTGGAGACCAAAAGTTCGTATCATGATTATAAATGACTTGCACTTACTTGTCCTTCAGGATCCAGAGCCTTCTCTTCCCTGGCCAGCATGTATATGGTCGGAATCAGAAATTCGGAGATCTGGAAGGGACCTTAGGAATTATCCGGTCTGAACCACTTGGTTTTTGGAGGGGAGGACACTGAGACCCAGAGTGATTTGCCCTGAGTCACATCTTCTGATCAGGGCTGCTTGTGGATTTGACACAGAGGAGGGAAGAGGGAAGCAGCAGGATGAGACTTGGGGAGAATGTTCCCCCCTCCCTGGCCCCCATCGCTGCTCCTGGTGCAGGGGAATCAGGGGACTGAGACATCCAGAAAGACTGCAGATACAGTCACATCAAAGGCACCTGAGAATCAGGAGCTGTATTATACCTGTGATTTTCCATCCCCTCCCTCCACCACCACACCAAGTTCAATTAGCTACGTGGAAGCTTGACGGAGTTCCTTGTGTCTGTGGTTTGAGTTGACACCTTGACAGACGTTCAGCAGCGCGCTCCCAGGTGGGAGGCCGATGCAGGCTGCCCTGCTTCATGCAAAATAATTACATTTACCATCCTTCCCCCAAATATTTTCCTCCTGTTATTGAAACAAAGAAGGAACATTCTCGACATACAAGGTTCCCGATGTGGTGGATATGTTAAGCCTGTTGTAAGAATAGTTCATAATTGATGTACTTGGCATTCGTCACCCGGCCATGACGTGTTCAGATGACTAATAAATTATATTATGTTGAATCCTTTTTTGCTGCTTCTTCAACTCAAGGCACCTGTTTAAGCATGTCAGTGGTGATGGGGACCATTTCCTGCCCATTGCTTTAAGCTTTGTAACTGACACGAGGTGAAGATGATGTGAAACTGCATGACCGAAATGGACACTGGTCTCTCTGGGTCATGTGTATTCTGCCCTAGAAGATCAAGCCTTTATATAGAGTAGAAGACTGAGGGGCCCATGAAAATTAGCATAAAGATTGAAGCAGTATAATTATAGCTAATGGTTATATAAGTATTCCTTTCTGAGTTCTTCGCATATGCCAACTCATCTGATCCTTTCAACAACCTGGTGAGGTAGATGCCATGATTGTGTCTGTTTGTATGGATGAAGAGCCCAAACCACAGAGAAGTTGAGCACCTTGCTGAAAGTCACACAGCTCATGAATAGTGAAGCCAGACTCAGGACGAGAAGACAATGCTGCTTGGCTGCTAGGCTGTCCTGCCTCTGTAATTATGACTGTCCAGGAAACTTCTATAGAACATTGTCATACATATTCTGATTGTGACATTCGCCTCTTGGAACACACTGTCACTATCACATGGATGCCCTCTCCTTCGTACCGCTGGAGTCGGTCCTGAGGCAGATGGCCTGTCCTGTTTCCCCTATCCGGCCCTTCGATGCGTCCTTCGATGGACCCACATGCGGGCAAACCCTAGTTCATAAACGAAGAAGAGAATCCATGGCCAGTTGGTAGGGTGGGATTGTCAGTTGGGGCAACTGTGTGTATGTTGAGTCTCAGATGACCTGTTACGCCCTGACCTACAGACTCTACCACTGTCCCACCCGTGTTAGCCACACACTAGACTCCATGTTGGCCTTCATCCTTCTCTGGTGGCCACCCACCAAAGTCGTGGTGAGATCTTTGCCTCTTCATTGCTGGATTGTTCATTGATTTATCTCATTCCTCCAATATGAGCCTCCAGTGGGCATTCTGGGGGACAGATGGGATCCCCGCATTCTCCCTCACTTCACGCCTGCTCTCTGCACCCGATTTTCAGGGTCCAGTCCTTGCGCGAATTGGTCCATGATTGCTGTGCCCTTGGTCGGAGGCTGGGGCCGCCTGATGGTCCCCTTTTCCCAGTCTCATGCCCTCTGCATTGGTCATCAGCTTGGCCTGGTCTCGGCTCTCCTTCCCTTCTTGCTTGCTTGGTGCTGCCACTTGATTTTCACACTACAGGCTCTTCCTTTACGGACTGGCAAACTTTTTCTGTACAGGGGCAGATAGCAGATATTTTAGGCTTTGCAGGCCCTACGGTCCCTGCTGCAGTTGCTCACCCCTGCTGCTGTAGCAGGAAGGCAACCACTGACAGGAAGTCAAATAAAGGAACGTGGCTGTGTTATAATAAAACTTTATTTACAGAAACAAAGGGTGGCCCAGATTTTGGCCCGTGGCCTGTGGTTTGCTGACTCCTTCTTTAGGGTAACTGCACAACGGCCTCCCTCTGACTCGTAACCTGTGATGACTCTATCTCTTTAGAGGTCATTCGCCAGCCCCACGTGGAACCCTGGGCCACTACTTCCGCTCTGAATTCCCGAGAGCCTTGCACTTGTTGGCTGTCCTGACCTATTGCTGTCTTTACTTTGCAACCCTCAGCCTTGAATGAAATCAACCATTTCTTTTTTCAAGTTCACAGCCAGCTAAATTGATTCCATTAAAAATTGATGTTGTTCAACAACAGCTGGGCCCCCAAATTCTTTTTACTGATCCTCTTCCTGAGCTCCAGGCTGATTTCGTGTCCTGTTTGCTATGTCTGCCCTCCTGTGCTGCTTAATTTCCCCCTCTTCTCACCCATATGCCTTCCCAGGGGATGACCTTGCCTCCTGTCTGGGGGGAATCAGTTCATCAAGGGCATGGACTGCAGCTCCTGCTCCCTTGACGTCAACATTCTCATCTCTACTTCAGATCTTCTCTTTCCTTCCGGTTTCAAAGGAGCCGATGTCCTTACCTCCTTTACAAGGAAGACCCGCCTTTGCCATTCATCTAATGGGCTTCCATTTCTCCACTCCGATCTCAGATTTTTCCTTCCTTTGGCTTATAAACATAAGGCAACCCGAGACTTTGGTTGAACTCACTGCCTCCCCACTTCCCTCTCTGGAATGCAAAGCTTCCAGAAAGAGAGTCTTCCCTTGTTGCCCTCGCTTTTCTACCTTGTTCGCGTCAGCCTCGCTTTTCTACCTTGTTTGCGTCAGCCTCGTTCACCCTGCGTCACCAACTGGATCCCAAGACCTGGCCTTTAGTGCCCACCTGCTTATACTCACTAACCTTTGTCTTACGTTTTTCCGGCTTTCCCCTTCACTCAGACAAAGGAGACCTGCAACCAACTCCCAGGCGATGGGGACTGCCTTGATATAGCCTCTGGCAGGTCCAAACCATCCGGATCCTTTGAGCTAAACATGACTCCTGCCCATGCAAGTGGACCAGGAATTTACCTCTGGAATGACCTACGATCACCTTTGCATCATTATAACACTAAAGTCTCTTTCCGGGGAGGAGCCTCAGCCTTATTTATATACTATTCAATGTAGGTACAGGCATGTTTCCTTAAGGCTTATGCATCACCTTGTGGCCACTTCTACATAGGATGACAAGGCTTCCCTATCTAAATAGTCATCCTAACCCTCAATAGGAGGGACCCATTCACCCTCTCTTGGTGAGTCATGCATGGCTTTGGAAGCTCTTGCCCACGAGCAACCTTATTGGTTGCAAATAAAAAGTTTTCTTTCTGTTGGGCCCCCGTTTTTTAACTCTTCTATACTTAATAATTGTGAGCTTGCTTTTTCAAAGTTCCCTGACATTCTCACTTCTTTTTAAAATCTACCCATGTGGACTCATTTCTCATGCCGGGAAACATTCAGCACCGTTGACCTCCCCTTTCCTCATGTAACTTCCTCCTGAATGAACTCTCCTGACTTGACTTCTCGTCTCTCACCTTTGTGTTTGCTGGGCTTCTGGAACAAAGCACCCCAGTCCGGGTGGATTAAGCCAGAGGAATGTGTGTTCTCACAGTTCGGGAGGCTGGAAGTTCAAGAGTCAGCTGTCAGGAGGATGTTTTCTTCTGTGGGTTGTGAGGGAAGGCTCTGTTCCAGGTCTCTTTCCCTGGCTTGGGGGATGGGGGTGGCTGCCTTCGGTCTTTGCATGATCTTCCTCTGTGTGTGTGTCTGTGTCCAAAGATCGTGTTCTTATACTCAGTCACGTTGGATTAGGACCCACCTGAATGACCTTATTTTACCCATTACCTCTTTAAAACCTGTCACCAAATATGGTCCCATTCTGAGGCTTAATGTATGAATTTTGGGGGGGCACACAGTTCAGCCCATAACTCTTCTCTGTCTCCATGTTTCTCTTTACCCCTCAAGTGTAGGTGTTCCCAAAGTTCATGCCTCGGCCTCTTTCTTTTCATGCTCTAGCTTCCCTCTTTGAAAAATCTTTCTCTCCGTGCTTGCACCATCTTATAACAGCAAATCTTATCAGATGTGAGATGGAAATTGTCCCGTAGACACCGCAGACTCAACACGGCCCAAACAGAATGGAACCTTTGCTCCGGGACACACGGTGCATTCCTTCTGCCCAGCCGGAAACCCCGAGCTCCACAGACACTCAGAATAAGATGGCACTCGTCATCTCTGGCCCCCTTCCGCCCCACTCATGTGGATTCTGCTATGTGTCAGTCCGACATTCTGACCCCATTGCCATTGCTCTGACCTGGACCGGGGCCAGCTCCTGCCGGCCCATCCACTGGAGACACAAAGGCAGTAATGCCACTCTGGTCCAGTTGCATCTCCAGAGATGAAAATGTTGGCTCTTTGGTGACTTTCATCTGACCTCCTTGGGCGTTGACCACCGTGGTCAAGTTCCACCGGACTGCAGACCTCTGTGTCTTTGCCCTGCTGTTTCTGCAGCCCACAGGCCCAGTTCAACCTGACTTTCCTAGCGAAGCGCTCTGTGGTTTGCACAGTTGAATTTACTTCCCCTTCCTTGGTGTCTGTGTAATACTTACCTACATATTTACTCTTTTGCTGACTGACCTGGGCTCAGCCTCACATTTAGAATTGCAGAGTCTTTGGAAGGTACGATGAAAGGGAGGCACCTTCTGGTGAGGAAATAGACTGCCCATGAACTAACTTACAGTTACTTCTTCCTTTTCTACATGGTAAGGTCTATTGAGGGGCTTGGCGCTGCGTATGCACGCGTGTACGCTCGCGTATGCACGCGTGTTTGGTTCCTCCATGGTGCCTGGCACCGTGTTTTGCTTGTCAGACATGTTTAGAGGTGTTTCTGTTTTTTAAGTTTATATATTTATTTTGACAGCACAGAGCCCAAAGCAGGGATTGAACTCACGAACCGTGAGTTCATAACCCAAGCCAAAACTGAGAGTCAGATGCTCAACCGACTGTGCCACCCAGGCGCCCCTGGAGATGTTTCTTAAGTTTAACTGGAAGGAGGGGGGAGGGGGGATTTAGCTGCACATTTGGGCATCTTTGATCTTAAGACTTGGACATCAGTGCAGGAAGAACAGCCCCTTATTGGTTTGCGAGGAGGTTCTCAATGAAAGTAATCCTTGTCTCCATCACATGCTGTGTGATCATTTGCTCTAGGGTCAGATGGAGATGATAGCGCAGACACTTGTCCCTCTGGAGAGGTGGCTGGTAGAGGAGGAATAGGTGTTTGAGGAACTACGTCTTTCAATACCTCCAAATCTTTGGAGAAGTGGGAGAGGAAACAAACATGACGTGAAGGTGGTGTATAAAGGGAACGCTTACATACATTGGACCAGACAAATAAGGGAGTAGTTATTCGCCTTAACATTAAGTAATTCACTATAGGGTCCTCTTCAGTAGAAACCCCCTGCCAGCTCATTAGGTAATTGGCAGAGGGAGGGGAGGGCTGAGAAGATTTTTTTGGGCGCGCTTCAACAGAAGCTCGTCAGAAGTAACGACAAGGAGGTCAGGTTCTACAGTGCCGATCACTGGGAAATAGAGTTTGAGTGGACCGCTTTAATTTGAGTAGAAATAGAGTTTGAGTGGTGGCTACCATTCTGTTTTCTGCCTTCTCCACGCTTGCACAAACTGTCACATTTCACTCTTCTCGAGGAAGCCCTTTGGATTCCTGCATTTACTGGGACTGGGAAACAGCAGGTGCGTCTCGGAGGGTGGGTGCATTAAACCCTTCACCCTGGAGGGGCTGGATGGGACGCCTCCCACACACCCCTTATCCCTTCCTTTCCTCTGTTCCAAGCTTCTTGCTGCATTTTGCGGGTGGGGGTTCCCTAGATCAGGCCCATCTGGGTGCCACTAGGGCCCACCTTGTGGCCACAGCTCTGTCCCTGCCATTGGCCGCTTGGCCATCCCATCCTGCCAGATGTTGGCCGTCATCAGTCCCCGGGCGGTGCCGGCCAGGCAGAGCAAACGCAGTGGGGGGAACTGTTGTAGCATCCGGTTGCCCAGT